AAAAAAAGAAATTAGAAACTTTGTTGAGAAAGGCTTATTTTTATCATATTTGATGCTAAATAATTTATATATAATAATATGCAAATACAGGACTAAAAACTAAATACAGAACATTTGAACGTCCTGTATTTCTTAAAAAAATTTCAGAGACTGTTCTGTATTTCAGCAATCTGTCCCCGGAAATACAGAACTTATGGTCACCGTAATGATACTGTTCTTGCTCTTTGATTACATTATACAGTCGAGTTCTTACCAAAATCAATGTGGATAACTTCTGCTGTTGTTTGATCGATTAAGATATTGTTCAGATGCCTGTCTCCTAATCCCAGTACGTATCCTGCCATTGACGTTGTCGCTATACTGTAGATTAGAGAAAATAGAATTAATCGAAGACGAGACTTAAGAAGTTAGTATTTGAAATACTGCGAATGCTACCTGCGAGTGTACGCCAATCGTCGTTCAAACCACGTCTCAGGCGAAGGATATTTTTCAGTAAAAAAGTGATGCATCACGGGATGCATATGTTCACAACAATCCATATACACTTTCAATTTTCTACTGGGCGTGTATTTCGTTGCTGCCTAAACAGAAAACTTATTTCACGACGAAAATCTAGGTGGTAATGTCTGGTGAATCACTCTATATAATAANGCCGAAATCGTCTCGAGCTGCTGGTTCGCTCGAGCGCAAAAGGCCTCGAGTGCACAAAGGGTTAATACACTTCTTCTCATTCTTCCATAATATGCAGGGCAACAGGAGCCACAATGTTTGTCATGCAATGATAAATCATGTAAAAATGACTATAAAGTGTTTGTCAAATGTCTGCACATTTCTGTTCGATAAAATGTGGTCCCATAATACGATTCTCGAGGTATCTCCTTAATTAGTGTCTTTTTACTAACAATAGTTTAATACTCTTTTCTAGAGAATATAAAGCTTTATCGATTGATGCAGGAAAAACTACACAATCCCATTTAAAAAGACGTTGATGACCTTCATGTCTTTACGTACACACCTACAAAATAGCTCGCAACAGCAGAATGTGCCTTTCGAAATCGATTGAATATTATATACAAACATCCTTTGTTACGTATAATAATAACGACGAAAATCTAGGTGGTAATGTCTGGTGAATCACTCTATATAATAATGATACATGAAATACAATAATGATAATAATAATAATCATAAAATAAATAGAATAATAATTTTCGACTGAAAAGATTCAGGGAAGATTCCATTTTCTATGCATTAATCTAATAATATGTACGTGAAAACGTTGAACTGTCTTACTGCTAATTTCTCTTTGCACTGTCTTGCTGTGTAATCTCTCGGGTAGTACTTCTTATGCAATCCGGGAAGACTATCCGTCCCGACTAATACAGCTGCAATGGGTAAAGTATTGTCGCACCATTCCACTATACCTGATCTCTGCGTTAAGGGTACGACCTAAGAGAAAGCATAAATTCCATCATTCAAGATTAAATATCCAATTTGAAATATGAAAAATTATTAAGACAACGCTAAAGGTACAAAATGTAAGATAGTAGAAATAAAATTAAAAAGATGAAGGAAGTGATGAGAGGATGGAGTGAGGAACGTATGGGTAAGAGAAATTAACCGAGTACATTTCTGAGCCAACAGACTGAAATAAATATACGTGCATTATGTTAATTAACGCTACTACCTTGTACGTCCTAATTGCCAGTTTCCTGCGTTTAGTTTCTTCGTGTGATCGTAACAACGTGTTCATCACGGTGAAAACTTGTTGCATCACGGCGTCTTGCCGTAAGTCATCCTTACCCTGGAAGTTCAGATCGTACAGTAAAAAATCCACGTACCTAAACGTTGAGAAACAACAAATTAACGAACAGTATATACCTTTATTAACTGATATCTACTTATTCCGTCTGTACCGATGCAAACCAATTTCTTCGGAGTATTTATGCCTCCGACGGTTTCATACGTCTCCGCATATTTAGCGACACCGACGACGGAATTGTAATGTTGCGAAGGGTTCACATTGATCCTTAACGTCGGCACGTAAATACTTTCGAACTGTTTTATCTTCAATATTTCTTGGTTCTTGGGAATTTTAACAATAACGCCCGCTGTGAAAAAAATAGCTTATCATAAATATATTTACAAACAAAATCACTTAATACAATAATAGGCGTACCCTTGGCCGAAGTAGCAGGAAGATTAGCCAACGTCACTAAAGCTCGTGATAGTCGTTCCATTTCGAATATAATTTTCCGTATATTAAACTTTCCTAATTCTTTTAACAATTTTCGAGCACCGAGAACTCTCGGTTCTGGAGTTTTCCCTTTTCTAATTGAACTATTATCGCAATCCCCATACAAATTTTTCAATGCCAGCAATACTGGCAACGTATGGTGCGGATGCTCTAGGGCGCACCGTCGCATAATATTGTATATCTTTGCGTGGAATTGATCAAGATCTTCGGTTATATGGGCTGCCAGTTGCGGTACTAACGGGATAAACTTAAAAGAGGGTATAAAGTTCAGGTTCTCTTCTAATAAATCGTTAACTTCCTTGTGGTGTACATTGTCCAACCAGAGAGCTATTACCCTGAATACTAATAAATTATAACTCTCGCTTTGTTGCAACGTTCTCAAGTAGTACCTGTCGCGCAAGCAAATTGTATGATTAAAAGGCAAATATTATAAATATTCTATATTAAAAAGACATGAGACTACCTACTTTAAAGCTAAAATTAAATAATTATTTCTCTCTTTCTGTATGTGTTCCAATTCCTCAGCGTCGTTTGTATTTTGTCTGCGACTCAAAAACATGGCCTGTCGAACGTCTCTGTCCTCAGGAACTGATTGTTCGTCAATTGTTTTATAGGAATACGTAACGCATTCCTTTAGGATTTCGAACTGAGGCGATTTCATGTACGAGCTAATCTGTTCGAACTGGGTATCAGCGAAACGAGCAAGGGCTACTTGAGTATCGTGTAAATTCTTAACAATCTCATGGTCGTTGCTCTGTTCATTGATCGACATACTTAAATTTATAGATCTCAAATAATACTCTTCTATCACAGTCTGAAAATTAAGAAACGGTTTAATCGATTAGAAAGAGCAACTGATAAATTGCTTTAATTGAATATATTCGTACAAAAGATTTGCTTTCTGTAAAGTTCATTCATTTAAATCTACTTCGTATACCTGAGGGTTTTCCGATTTTGTTTCGGCCATCCAGTCTCCGTAGACTCTTAATATCTGCGCTCGTAGGTTTCCATCCAATGTATTTTTATTTATTAAATTAAGTAACAGACATCGTCCAACATCCAAATCGTTTCTGTGCCGCGCTAACAGAGCTTCTTGATAAAGTAGTCGATCTTGGATTTTTGAAGATAAATCACTCTGCTTTGCTAGAACAACTTTTACAGGCATGATTACATTAAATTCTGATTTCACGATTAAACATTTATATGTGAATTGTATGTAATACCTAGGGAACGAGTAGCGATTTGCAAATTGTCTTTATCTGCTGCTATTTTCGATAGCTGAAGATATGTATTGAATAATGCATGTTTAATGTTTGAATTGTTCGCCAACGTGTCATTTATTTGAAACATGACGGTTCTCTGAGTTAAAATAGGTTCCATATACCGAAAATCATTGAAATTTGCGATGTTCTGTTGCTGCCATTTGTCCAACACCTTTCCATAATCATTTTCCTTGACAAATTTGAGATCTTCAATCTCACGAATCAATTGTAATTGTGTTAATTTCTTGTATATAGTTTTGTTGCTTTCTAAAATAAAAATAACATTTTATACATTATCAAGAAAATAATAAGAAAAATCTAAATTCAGATTTTTATACAGAGTGTCCCAGAAGAGGCAAACGATTCGAGCATAAAAAAATTCATCATTTTTCACCAGCACTTCTATCGAGAATGATTTAAATAAGGCTGACTTTCGCTTTTGTAATAATTGTTCGCACTGCTTACGATGTTTCCATTTGAACAATCATTGTTTTCACAGTAAACGATATTACATATGCTCGATAAAAGAACTATTTAATTTTACTTTCTACGATTTCTCAATTATTGCATTTCTCAAGTAGTATAAGTCAATGAACACGTGCCTCAGCTCAGAAATAGTTAAGAGTTGCTTTATAATTTAAAAAAACTTTGAGATATTACACTATACATATATCCATAAACCTAGGAATATACAGAGTGTCCCAGAAAAAGTGTTAGAACCGAAAAGGGGTGATCCTGAAAGTATTTCTGAACAACAATTTCCTTTGGTAAAATACAAAATGAGTCATGGTTTTTGAATTACTGACAAAATACACTGACCAATGAGAGCACGCGTAGAGCCCGCGCAAACCCAGGACTGGTTGGCTCGGATCGTGACGCTCGGCCATGGCTCAGCGCGGGCCCTACACGCTCTCTTATTGGTTAGTGTTTTCCGTTAATAATTTAAAAACCATGCCTCATTTTGCATTTTGGTGAAGGAAATTGTTGTTCAGAAATACTTACACAATCACCTCTCTTCGGCTCTAACACTTTTCCTGAGACACCCTGTATATAATTCCTAATTAATTACAATGATAAATACAATAGTATTAGTAATAGTAATTCCTTTGAGATATTTATATTAAATCGTGAAAACGTTGAATGAATTTTCTTTGTTAATAGCTGAAAGACATTTTTATACGTATAAATTTGAAAAAGTTAAACACTCCTCTTCGGCTATAACATTTTTTCTGGAACACCTTGTATAATGTTTTAAATTCGTAGCCTACTAATGATAATGTCTCTTCTATCGAAAGATGTAACGTTTCCTTACCTAAACTAGTATTTCTAAGCGCTTTGATTACGCTTGCGCGTGCGTTTCGTATCGCGTCCGCTACACCTCCTTCGTTACCCTCGTGGAAACATTTCAAAGCGTGATAATGGTAAAAATGATAATCGCGTTCGGTTATATCCAACTTCGAACCGAAATTATTTTGCGAGTAGAGGAACTGGTTGCCGTCAAGGGCGTCCCAGTTGCCCAGGCGCCAAGCAGACTCGTACAAAATATCTTCGTCTATTTTTTCACCAGTCTTCGACGACATGGATATAAAATTACCGAGCAGGTATTGAAGACCAGACTGGTGTAATCCGTTCGCCATTTCTGCAACGATTTATTTTGCATTATACAGTCTTATACTGTCCCAGAAAAAGTGTTAAAGTCGAAGAGAGGTGATTCTGTAAGCGTTTCTGAACAACAATTTCCTTTGCGTAAGTGTAAAGTGAGGCATGATTCTTAAATTATTAACGAAAAACAGTGACCAATAAGAGCACGTATGGAGCCCGCGCTAAACCACCGCCGCGCGTCGCGATTCGAACCAACCAATCCGTGGCTGAGCGCGGGCTCTACTCGTGCTCTCATTGGTCAGTGTTTTTCGTCAATAATTCAAAAACCATACCTCACTTTGCATTGTATCAAAGAAAAATGTTGTTCAGAAACACCTCCAGAATCATCGGTTTTCGGCTCTAACACTTTTTCTGGGTAATTGCTTATAGCAATTTCACATTATGACACGCAACGAAGTATAACTTCTTCACTTTAACTTGATAATAAAATAATAATGCATACCTCTGATCATACTCGTATTCCCAAACGAAAGTTCAACGTCATTGGCAAGCATTACTCTGTCCCATTGGTTGGTATGGACGTAGTGTTGAATACGAGTAGAGTAATGCTGCAAGTGCGAGGAACCGGTGCCACTGATGGCATCGAGGTCGCCTAATTTCGCATACGAATCTCGTAGTATGCCTTGTATCACTTTTCCTTGACGAGGCGACAATTGGTAAACGCGATCAATCTTCGAAACGCTGGTCGACCTGTCGTCGTCGTTTAAGATGGCTTCGCAAGACATCTCCGCGTACAATATCGCTGTGAAATATGCGGAGCAATAATGAGCAGCCTTCGCTATGTGTATGTAATTCAGCTTCAAATGATTGCTCGGTATCTGCATTCTGATGTAATTTACTATGTTCAACATGCACCGCACGATGCGGTGATCGCAGTTCGTTGATTTATGGGAGGGGACGTTCGTTTCTGTGTTGAAATTGAAATGATGCTCGAAGAATCTATCGATGCATTTCCATATGGCGCTCGTCGAATTCTCATCCGTATGAATGATTAAATACACGATCCTCGGTAAAATCATTTCACAGAAATCGGTACTCAAACGGCATACGGGGATCAGATATTCGGAATAGAATCGTGTAAAGCACACCGCGACTTTACACGTTGCCTGGACGATCCAATCAGAGTACGAGTCTTCAGATTGAATCGTCCAAATAGTATTATCTTGGTCAAGAATCTCATTAAGGTTAGTCTCATTTATACCGATGTTACTCTCTTTTAAACATTTATCATTGGCAAGTATAAATGGTTGAATGTTACTCGTTTCTAGAGGTGGAACCTGTGATTCGCCTAAAACGGATTTTAAACTGTTCATATATGTTGCGTTCAGCAATTGTCGACCCCAAAACGACGAGAGTACGACGTTTAATACACCGGCGCTGATCCTCCGAAGCTCAATGTCGCTTTCGAATAAAAATTTCACCATCATTATTATTATCTTGTACGACAATATTTCAATCAAGTCGGACGATTCCTTAATGTGGCCCTTTTCGAGATACAGAATCATTGACATTAAATCTGTCGGGCCTAACTCGCCCAAACATCTCGCTGCCTCAATAGAAACATCCATTTACGAAAGTTCAACGTCATTGGCAAGCATTACTCTGTCCCATTGGTTGGTATGGACGTAGTGTTGAATACGAGTAGAGTAATGCTGCAAGTGCGAGGAACCGGTGCCACTGATGGCATCGAGGTCGCCTAATTTCGCATACGAATCTCGTAGTATGCCTTGTATCACTTTTCCTTGACGAGGCGACAATTGGTAAACGCGATCAATCTTCGAAACGCTGGTCGACCTGTCGTCGTCGTTTAAGATGGCTTCGCAAGACATCTCCGCGTACAATATCGCTGTGAAATATGCGGAGCAATAATGAGCAGCCTTCGCTATGTGTATGTAATTCAGCTTCAAATGATTGCTCGGTATCTGCATTCTGATGTAATTTACTATGTTCAACATGCACCGCACGATGCGGTGATCGCAGTTCGTTGATTTATGGGAGGGGACGTTCGTTTCTGTGTTGAAATTGAAATGATGCTCGAAGAATCTATCGATGCATTTCCATATGGCGCTCGTCGAATTCTCATCCGTATGAATGATTAAATACACGATCCTCGGTAAAATCATTTCACAGAAATCGGTACTCAAACGGCATACGGGGATCAGATATTCGGAATAGAATCGTGTAAAGCACACCGCGACTTTACACGTTGCCTGGACGATCCAATCAGAGTACGAGTCTTCAGATTGAATCGTCCAAATAGTATTATCTTGGTCAAGAATCTCATTAAGGTTAGTCTCATTTATACCGATGTTACTCTCTTTTAAACATTTATCATTGGCAAGTATAAATGGTTGAATGTTACTCGTTTCTAGAGGTGGAACCTGTGATTCGCCTAAAACGGATTTTAAACTGTTCATATATGTTGCGTTCAGCAATTGTCGACCCCAAAACGACGAGAGTACGACGTTTAATACACCGGCGCTGATCCTCCGAAGCTCAATGTCGCTTTCGAATAAAAATTTCACCATCATTATTATTATCTTGTACGACAATATTTCAATCAAGTCGGACGATTCCTTAATGTGGCCCTTTTCGAGATACAGAATCATTGACATTAAATCTGTCGGGCCTAACTCGCCCAAACATCTCGCTGCCTCAATAGAAACATCCATTTCTGCGGATCCTGTCAGTTTTATAAGTTTGTAGACCAGCTGGTGTAGCAAACTTGTGGCACAATCTTCGGAAAAGCCGCGAAACTTTTCAAGCGCGTCGTACAATCTCCGCAATTCTTCTTTCCTCGTCGATAGCTGCATCAGCAAATGAGATATATCTTCCATGCTGCAATCCATATTTTTATCAATCATGGTATTCAGAAAATATTGTATCTCTTCCTCCAAAGTGTGAACTCTCTTCGTCTGGTGCTTCAAATTATTATGAATCTCTCGTATCCGTTGGAAAACCGGGATATTAGGAAATACGTTTAAATTCTGTATCACGTCGGAAAGCAACGCTTTCTGATCAACTATCAAGAAGTTGAGTATATCCAAAGCAACGGAAGTTTCTTCCGTTTGAACGATAGGCACCAGAACTGCGACGGTGAACTTCAAAATTTGTTTCACCTGCTCGCTTCGCACCGGGAACATTCGTTTAACGAAGTCGTAAAAGTATCTGCAGGCCAATCGTCGAACGTCGTCGTATATTTTAATAACGTGAAGTAAACTGTAACCGATATCTTTTATCACGTATGTAGACATCGCGTCAAAATATTCTCGCGGCAATTCGTCGATGACCAATGTACAAAAATACGCGTACTGATGGAAAGCTTTTATCCTATGCTCTTCGAATCCTTGTTTATGAATCCTCTCGTTCAGGTCTGACAACACCCTCTGCAATATCCTCGAACCATTGCAACGTAGGAGATATTCCAACAGCGTGACGCCGTCTTGAAAATAATTGCTGACGATTAATTTCAAACAATTGTCTATCGCCGGTTTCTTAAAGTGAGGAGGATCCGATAACGCCAATGACATTCTTATCCCTAGCGTTTCCTCGAGATGATCCTCGTCGTGCAATCTCCCAACAAGATACACCAGAATCTTCGCGAAGTTCCCGTTAAGCAAGCTAGAAAATTCTCTCATCCGGCAGAATTCATCTTCGTTCGATTGAAATTTATGAAACACCTCGTACGCAGATTGTTTCGAAATAGTCCTCTCGTTCCCATCGACACAATATAACAGCCACGCGAGGACTTCCGGGAAGATATTTTCGATCACTTGTTCGAACGGCAAATTCGCGCGATTGCAAACAGAAGCGACCTCGGGCAAATCCAACCGTTTGAACTTGATAAACGCTAAGGTATTACTGCACGTTTGGTAGAATTGTGTTTCGGATTCGCAACGCATTAACTTCCAAGGAAACGATCGCGACGAGTACTCTGAATTATACCAATAAGTCAACAAGAAGCTGAGATTCTTTTCGATGAGATTCGAGCAGTTGACCCGATCTGTAGCGATATTTATCGTTTTTAGCATTTTCTCGCAGTCTATCTCATTGTCAATGATGAACTGTAACATCAATGACAAAGCCTGGCTCTGGAACGCTCCGCTGGTAGAGGCAATCGCACCGAGCGTCAACAAAGTACTCGCCGTTGTAATTTCTTTCTTGTCTGCATTTATTCGAACGTTTGTCTTCTCGTCAATCGCTATCGCACGCGCTAAGGCTTCTATTCTCGCAAACAACGCTTCCTTCCATAAAAACGCAATACTTTTCGAAGAATATATACTCTGTATCCATTTGATTGCCTCTTTTCTCACCATAAACGAAGAACTGGTAAGAGACGACAAGAGACCTTCTAATACCGACATTTCGTCCAAGGCTTCGTTCGTACTGTAATGTAAATGAGATGGACTGATGCGAATAATTTCTGAAAGGCACTTAACATACTCTATTTGAGCGACGAAACCATATCTCTTCTTCTCAGACCGAAGCTTATTAAATTCAACGATAATTTTCATTAAATCGTTTATCTTACAAGAGTCGTGCTCTAGAGAGTACTTAAAGAAGTACGGGAAAACGCTGAATATGTAACGCATGCTGGTTTCATCCTTGTAACACGTGCGATGCAATGTCAACAGATTTTCCAATGGCGAGTACCTGTGATTTTCCCACAATCTTCCTTCCCCGTACATGGATAACGACTTCAAAACCATTACAGCCATTTTAAAATTAACCGTGTGAGACAGATCGTACATATTTATGTTTAGGAAATTGTTCATCAGTTTTATCTGAATTTCATGCGAGCTTTCTTGCTCCACGGTTATACAGCAAAACAGTGCCAACGCCTTCGTTGCCTGTATTCTAATGGTACCTTTGTCGCAATACTTGCAGCATTCCTCTTCTACGTCCTCTCTGTTTAAACACTTGCGCCTCCTCTGTTGATTGATGTAATTCTTGCTAATCTCGTATTTGGCGATCTCATCATCCGCGATGTTCATTAAATTGAATATATTTTTTAACATGTTCAACGTCGCGGACGAAACGATTATCTCTGCTACCTGAACGTCGTACGATGTCTCGTACAGCGAACAAAGCGCTTTCGTTACTCTGTACAAATAGGAATAATTCTCTTTCGACGGGTTCAGACGTTCCAGTAAAGTATTAACGTTGGCCATGTACTTTTTCAATCCCTGCACGAGTTGCAACTCTTCGATATTTTTCGATATCATGTTTAATTCCTTCATCATCGATACAGCTTTCGCCACAATTGCTACTTTAATTATAATCACATCAAGATCACCTCTTACAGTTTCATTGATCATACTGTACAAGCTGTTCGTCATGAATGTTAGAATTTCTTGCATGTACAGTACGTGTTCATTAACTTTTGCTTTTAGCTTTTCGCTCCTTTTCGCGTCGTCGGTGAACAAATTCTTTTTATACGTTAATAGCAGATAGCACTGTTCGATGTGCTCATAAAATGATTCAGAGTTCTCATCTTCTAAACAGTCGCATTGATCGTTCACGTTGTATTCCTTAAATCGTATTCGATTCTCGTGTTTCGTTTTTAATGTCATACTGATGAGCGATAGGCAGAGCTCGTCGATTATGATTTCTGTCACTGTCCTCTGCCAAGGAATGTTCAATAACCATTTTATAAGAGACGACCTGACGGAGTTCGCATCCATCGTTGGCGAATATTCGTTTATGCTGCATACGGAAATGTCAGCCGGCAATGGGAAATGTTCACAAAGTACTATCAACGTACGGACGCTCATAACGGACCATTTGATCACGTTCGTAAGATACAATTTTAAAACCACGTTCGGGTTGGTTATTTTGTTATTTATTATGAACAGCTGCGTGAGCGTATGCGTTGATGTTTCATTTTGATTCACGTTTAAAGATCTGAAATCATAAATCATTATTATTAGAGATGGATTCAAGAACCTTGCAAACTTTCATGTGATGAACAATGAAATTTTCGACATATATTAATCTCATATAAGTAATAAAAATTTGTTGTCTCAGTTTCCGTTACAAATCCAGATAAAGAAGTTGGAAAACCTCCATGTTTCTTCTTCCGATTTTTCACCAATTTTTATTTTTCTGCAATCTTTCGTACAGATAATTTAGTAAACTAATCCAATTGGCTACTAAGGAAAACTCGAGTCGTTTGGTCCGATTTTAAAAAAGTTATTCAATTTTAAATAGTTTAATTTTGCTTTTAACTGTGAACTCGAATTTTGGTCGAATAGATTCAAAACTTTTATGAAGATCGTATTAAAATCAATTATGTTGTCCTTAAATGCTTAATTTAATTCAACATGTATAAAAATAATTTCATAATCTATCGAATTTTCAAAGAACATGATCTAATTGCAGGATTCATTATCAGTAATGACAGTCATTACTCTTTTTTGTAACCAGTTCTGTATTTCCAGATATTATGGATAAAAAAAGAAATAGGCGAAAACCAAATATTGTAAATCAAATATTTAAACATTAAATAGTTACGAATTTAATAAATAAAGTAATTA